CCCCCCCCCCCCCAATCCCCAAAATAGCCACTCTCCAGGCTTCAATGTACCAACCAACACTCACAAACCATTCACTACGTCTTATTTAATATGAATACTGAGATCCATTAAAATCATTTCAACTAAAATGTTGGAATGGACTTGTTAAGAGATGATAGGTTTTGTCAATAATCGTTTGATATTTAGTCAATTAAAGGGAAGCACTTACGCACTGATGCATCGATTCAGCAGTCATTTTAACGCAGCCTTTACTGTTAACTAATTTTTGGAATTTTACGAGGACGTCGGGTCAAATGCGGTTTAAATCACAACAAGAGATGAGTTACTTGTCCGTCCCTTCCCCGATGGGGTTGACAAAACTCCATCGATCGATTTTTATGAATGATCGATAAACCTTGCGATTTAATTGTCAATCCTTTCTTACTCCCTTTTTTTCAGTTGATGCATACAACTACAAAATGGAGAAAAAATAACTCGACTTGATTGCTCCAAACTGGTGCGTGATTAATGGACGTCAGGTCGCCGACGTTCTACCCGTCTGTCAACCTCGTCTTCATTGCAAGCCTATTCTTTTCGCCTCTCCTTGCTTTGTTTTGCTTTTTTCTAATCGAAATTCGGCATCTGGAGGTGTCAATCAGCGACTGTTTGTCTCCTGCTAGAAAGATGGGGGCGCAAGAGCGCTCTCGCTCTCGTCGTAGCGATGATGATGACAAATGGCTGTCAATTTGTACCTGCTCCATACATCACTCTCGGCTTAGGGTTGTTGCAAGTCACGTGAGGGGTGAGAAAGATATGGTTAGTTTTCGAAAAAAAAATTGCAACACAACTCTACGGTAGTTTAGTCTTCAAATCACAGCTTAGTGGACCTCTGTAGTGGTCTCTGCAGCTAAACCTCATGCTAACCGCAACTTCCACATGTAATGATCCCGCACAGCAACTGTAACCCTTCTGCCACCTTCAGTAAAAGGGGAGGTAGAAAATTTTTGAGATGAAGATATGAAATAATAGCGAATTACGCAGAGAATATAGTTCTGTTTTTAATTGCTACGAGAGGTCTAGAGCGTCAACTCAAGGCCACCTCAATTTATTACAGAATTTGAACAACCAGCATCTCATAAGTATCTCCACCTCTTCATATTACCCGTTCCATAAAAGAGACTAAATTTTGGCTTATCTGATTAGTCAGGTATAACGAACCAATCAAAGAACGAGTTTAAGTTGGCAAATATCGATCATCAGTGTCTCCTTGATTCTTAAGCAATCAGTTAAATCTCCGTCATACGTGCATTCGAGACCTTTAAGGTGAAGTCTCTTTACATCCGAAGTGGACATAAGCACGTACAATATTTTTTTTATAAGTGCAATATCCAAAAAATCAACTGAATAAGTCACAATTTGATTGAGTTTACCGATTACAGATGGCAGTGCAGTGACTTGATTCTTTCCTGATGTCGCAAGATATCAGGATACAGGAGAGGAGGTGGCGGAGGGGGGGAACAGACTACTGACGCCGTCAGGAGGCAATTCGTCTAACGAAAGCACATTCCCTGTAGACCCAAGTGCCCGCATTATGGGACGCAGAGTTCACCAAACCGTCAAAGCATTACAGTAGCACGAAAAAAAAATTCTGATATCCAGCTTTGAACTAGCAACTCTGACGTCTTCTAAGTACTTCGTTGACTATTTTTCCCTGTTTAACCCCAATGTCTTCATCTCAGCATAATGAAAATCAAATTAACACACTTGAGATATAAGCATGAATGCTTGACCCAGCTTTATCAGACTTTGATGGTTTGAGTTGCTAAAAGTTAAAGCCTAAGTCTCCTGTCTAGAATTATGGTAAATTCCCACACGAGTTTGTTTCAATTTACTCCAATTTGAACTAGTCAAATTTGTGAAGCGAGATGGAACCACCTGTCAAGTAGGCTACATTAGAAATCCCTCCATCAGGGCATGATTAGTCGTTGATGAATCATTTGTAAAGAGGGGTTAAGTCCACCTCGCCTCCGAACACCGCATTAACCTAGGCTTCACGGTCAACTTGAGGCGAAATGTTGTTTTCAGAACACTAAAGAGAAACCACAAAAAAAGGCT